GAAAACCAGTGCGATAGGGCAGATAGATTGAAGAGATATAGATAGATCGAAGCGATAGATTGAAGAGATAGATAATTGAGTCAAGTGAACAGTAGGCACCGTAAGTAAAGTGTGTGAATCACTGTGATTTATAGCGCATGTTATAAAGGTTGCTAATTTTAAAGTGACTGTAGAAATTATGTATATTACAAAGTTGTATCGAGAAAGAATAAACTAGCTTTAATTAAGAAAGGACTTGTATCGCTGAAGTTCCTCGGAAATAATTTATACCGGAAATTAACAAACAAGGAGATACACTACAATATTGATAAAGCCTGGAAAGCACACAATCAGATTCAGAATGTTTGAGCACAATATAGGTAACAGAAAGTAAAGTAACATGTACATGTTTTAGTGTGTAGGTTTTGGAGAAGAAAGAACCTGTACGTGTTTCAGAGTGTAGGCTCTGGAGAAGTAACAATTTGAACGTGTTTCAGTATATGGGCTCTGAAGAAGCAACAACTTGTACCATTAATGCTTCTCCTGAACCTACACTCTGAAACATGTACAGGCTGTTGCTTCTCTAGAGCCTACATACTAAAACATGTACAGACTGTTACTACTTGAAACTACACTCTGACTCACAGGTTGATACTTCTCCTGGTCCTACACTCTAAAACATGTACAGGCTGTTGCTTCTCTAGAGCCTACATACTAAAACACGTACAGATTGTTACTACTTGAAACTACACTCTGAAACACACGTTTATACTTTTCTTTAACATGCACTCTGAGACAAGTAGAGATTGTTACTTCTCCTCAACCTACATTTCAACACACATATACATTGTTACTTCTTCTGAACCTACACTCTGATACACGTACATGTTATTTCTTCTCCACACACTGAAACACGTATAGGTTGTTACTCTTCCTGAATCTACAACTGTGACACATTTACAAGTTGCTATTTTTCATTAACCTACACTCTAAAACATCTGTGAGTTTTATGTTCAGGAGAACTATCAATCCATACATGTGTCATAGTGTAGATTCAATGAAAATATTAACCTGTATGTGTTTCAGAATGTAATTGTCAGGATAAATAACAACCTGTATGAGCGTCAGAGTGTAGGTTCAGGAGAAGCATTAATCTGTGAGTTTTATGTTCAGGAGAACTATCAATCCATACATGTGTCATAGTGTAGATTCAATGAAAATATTAACCTGTATGTGTTTCAGAATGTAATTGTCAGGATAAATAACAACCTGTATGAGCGTCAGAGTGTAGGTTCAGGAGAAGTAACACGTACGTCTTAGAATGTAGGCTCAGAAGAAATAATAAACATATTTCTTTTTTTAATATTTTTTCCATTTTTACATCAGATATTATTTTTTGTTAGCCGTAGTGTGTGTATCTTCGGTTTATTATAACTAGGAGATCGTATTACGAAATGCTAGACATATGAAACATGATTTGTGCTCCTAGGCCCCAAACCTGTTGTATGAAACGCGTTTATCCTTTTCTTGGGTTTAGGGCCAAAAACATCCCTAATAACGAGAGTGTTTAAGTGAGGCAGAAGGGAAAATAAATTTTGTTTTCTATTATTCTTAATGAAATCAGCTTATTATTAATTGCTATTGTAGATGTTTAGTAACTCTTCTGGTAGAAGTTATTACATAGTGTTGCGTCATCGAGATCACGTGACTATTTTGACGCCCTCTG